ACTGTAGCTCTTGACACCACGTCGTCGTCGAACTTGCACCACTAAATTCAGATCCTGTAGCGAAATATCCGCTTAGACCCTACAACTCCCGCTGCTGGGAAACAAAAATGCAAAAGCAACCAAGCCTTACATTGAAGACTGCGTAGTCATAGGCCAATATCTTACCAATTTCACGGGCACAATGTTAGCTATTCATGACTCAGCGTATAGAAAATTCATAAGCAGAAACCACGTAAAAGTGCGTCATACCTCTTGGTAGGCCTACTTAGCTCTCAAAAACAGCGCTTTATCGATGCATATGGTTCAAATTCACAAATTCCAAAACGCCATTTGTCAGCACAGCTACCACATGTACCGTAACCGATTCAGGAATGCAATTATTATTGACAACCACAGATTTTTGGTCTAAAAATTGCCTGCGGGGGCCGCTGCGGAAGCTCAGCTCGAAAACTATTCGTGGTTATTGTACTCAAATTTCACGCTGTTGGTTCGTACCTTAGGCTTATATTTTTCTCCAGGTGGTCTGAGACCGGTATTGATGAAAACAACGTAGTGACCTCCGTGGAAATCGCCAGAGTGAACAAGGACTGCGTGTAGTGAGTACGTGTAGTCTTCACCGTTACCTTCCACAAATTCATTCAGACATAGCTTATCCGGAAATGCAAACCTTAAGAATAGTTGAAATCTTCAATCCGGTAAGTAAAACTATTAGTTGAACATACTTGTCATTGATTTTCACATTTGCATCAAGATTTGCGTCATATTGGAAGCGCATCAATTGCAGATGAAGAACTGGTGGGAATGACACAAACTTCACTCCTTTTTCAGCCGGTTGCATTCCGTAATCACCGGCATCGTACTTGTTTTCACCGTCTAGTCGTTCTACTTGAACGTACTCATGGAATGATTGCATAACTGAAAAGCTAGATCACTGTCAGAACTTGCAAGATTCGTCAGGCGTATCGAAGTTACAAAGTAATCCATGTGCACAACTTACTATTGCTCTTTCCTTTGATATTTAGCTGGATGTCATAGAACGGCTCTTCCTTGCTGCTTTCAAAGTTGACATTTGTACAGCGGATATAAGATTTCATGACACCGCGGAATAGGTTTGGAATTGTGTCCTCTACCTGAATAAACATACTAGTTGCGCTCTAATTCTGGGTTAGACGGTTCCCCTACACAAGATTTCTTCATTTTGCTCTCAAGGTTATCGAGTAGTACTCTACAAAGTTCCTGAACATCGTGCTGCATGAAGGTTTCCAGTGAGTCCCAGCCAAACGATTTCGTTAGCTTTTTGGTTCCAACCGGTCGGTCAGAATGCTAGATTAAGATGCTAGTAGAACAACCAGAAATCACTTTCACTTGCAATAAATTACCTGCAAATCGTAGAATACGCGTTGCATCGCCAAAGCAACATTACTTTCCGGATCATCCTGCGCCACAGGCATGCCATACACAGCCTATAACACCATGGGAGACTCAAAGCGCAATACTACAAAAATAGCTTACATTTCGTAGTTTCGTAGTGAAGTACAACGTTTGTAATATAGAGTTCATATAGCAAGTAGCTCCCTGGTTTTTGAGTCCAATGTAACCCGTGTGTTTCTTACTATCCCATCTAAAATTGGAGTTGAATTGGAATTCAATCAAACGTCAACAGTATTTATGATCAGTAATGCTTGAATGGAAACGTACTGTACACCATGTGGGGCATCTGCGGATACGTGAACTACTAAGCGAATGGTGTCGTCTTTAATAAAACCATTTTCAGGGTTCATTAAATGCTGTAACAGAGCAAGTAAATGATTGGATAAACTAAGTAAATCTTACATCGCATGTTAGAAACTGTGAGTATCCCCAATCGTTCTCCTTAGGGTAAAAGGTATGAGTTATCCGCCTTGAGTGATCTTCAAAACCATCAACCTGACACAGAACCTAAACACGAAAAGTGACATTTAATTATTGGCAAACTATTATGAAGAACCCAGATCTTGAACGCTATCTCTTCTCTACGAGCAGAAAATCATTCCAACATTGAACTTATATATACGTTTGCCTTTTACAAAGCTAATCATTCAAGAACTCAAAGAGAAATGACGGCAGCAGGCTTCCTCAGCTGTCATACACAATCAAAAGACTCTATCACGAAGTAATAATTTTAGCTATGATATTCCACGCTTACCTTGAGTGAAGCTGATGCTACACAGTTCCATGCAACCGCCTCAGAATCTCCGTTGCACTGAAGGAAAAAACCGAGAGCTTTGTTCGGTCGCGCTCCAGTTCCTACTCGGGCGGCATCTCTAGAAGGTAAAGCCTTACTAAAGAACGTCAAAAGCTTTGCTTATTGCATGTAAAGCATGCGAATGAAATCACCTAGGGATTGCTAAGATTTTCCATGGAAGACCTCGAACAAATACGGGTTTGGAAAGACGTTGTTGTGTTTCAGACGATCCTTCACAAAATTGACTAAAGCCGTCGATATCAAGGTATATTGTTCCTTCCGGTTTATACAAATCGTCGGGATCATCCTCTTCTTCGGTCATGTAATCACACTGACATTGAGATAGATCTGCAATTCAAGATTTTTGCCAACTTTTATAGGAACAGCGACAAAAACATAAGATGCTCACACTTTTTGTTGGAATCTGCACAAACTTCATCGCATGTGGGATTCACATCCATAGCAACATCTGGAGGCGTGCACTCATCGTCTTCTTCACTGGCTGAATCTTCGCCCATGTCAATCTGAAA